ATATATATATATATATATATATATAGTATATTGATAACATAAATTTAAATAATATGTATTATTTTAGTGCAATTTAAATGTCAAGCATGTCTCCTCCTTTAAATCGAAAACGAAGCTCGTCTGTTAGTTTTACAAGAGCTAAAGATGATAGCGAAGATGCTACAGATGAAATTCATATATCTTTAGCACCATATATACAAACATATTTGGCACATAGTGGACAAGGACTCGGATGTTGTGGAATTAGCCTTCCAGTACCATTTGAACGTGCAGCACCAAGATCTTGGTGGAATCCTAAATTTGATTCAGAAATACTTGAAGAACAATTTAAAAGAAGTGCCTTTCCACAAATTAGATTAAGATTCCGGTATACAATATAATATAATTTGCTAAACCCATAACAACAACAATTAATATATATTATGTTTTAGGTATGCTTTAACATATATTTTACTGGTTTCTTTATCATGGCTGGTATATTTTGTTGTAATTGGAACAGAATACAATACTACAACATGGCCAGCCATAGCAGCAATTTTCACTGCTATTGGAGCAATGGTATCAGCAGTCTTATATCTAACACATAGAGATTATTATAAAAGTTATGTGTTACCAATTTCATTAGGAGTTGCAACTATGCTTTGCATCCTGTCTTTACTTTTTCTAACAATAGTACCGCCCTATATAGATGGCTTAACTCTAGTCGGACATTTTGCACTCTGTTCTGAGATTTTGTTATTGATTTACACTGTCTTGCCAATGCCACTATATGCTTGTGTGGGAATATCAATGGTTTATTCTTTTCTTTTTGAATTTTTGACTGCTTACCTATATGGTACAAAAAGTGCAAGAGAAAAGTTTTTTAGCAAACATATTTTATTCAATACTTCGACAACAAGTGATGCCATTCTGAGAAACTTTAACAACAATCAATTTTCTAACGTGATGCACAATGACAACGAATCTACAATTACAAGTATGAAGTTAGTATCATATTCACAGGATTCAAAATTGTTATCTGCTCTTGAAATGAAATCAAATCAAGAAAATATAATTGGAAGGATATCTGAAGTTTTAAATGATACCAATGTTTTTAAGAACTTAAATTCTAATATAACATCAACAATAACTAATATTAACTCAGCCATAAATGCTTCATCTAATGATTTAATCTCAAAAAGTATAAACAATGCAACAGAAATTCATAAAAATGGTGAAATATCAAACTATTTATTAAATAGCAACATATCTAACCAATCATTTTCGGATGATTATTTTTCTACGAGTCTTGGAATAAGGATCTTAATGCAGATCTGCATTCATCTGATAGGTATACATATTTTAATAATGACTTTTGTGAGAATGCGTGGTACGTTTATGAAGGTTGGGCAATCACTGTTAGTTCGACGACAACTCGAGATGGAGAAACAACTTAAAGAGAAAATGATTCATTCAGTAATGCCGCCTAAAGTCGCAGATTGGTTAATGGAAGAAAGTGAACGTGAAAGAGAGCGGGAAGACTCTTTAAAAAAAGGTTCGATACCGTCCAATAATACAGATATTCGTTCATTGTTTCGACCATTTAATATGCATTCAATGGAAAATGTTAGTATCCTATTTGCTGATATTGTCGGATTTACGCGAATGAGTTCCAATAAGACTGCAGAAGAATTGGTAGCCATTTTAAATGATCTTTTTGAAAGATTCGATGATTTATGTGAACACCATGGATGTGAAAAAATTTCTACTCTGGGAGATTGTTATTATTGTGTAAGTGGATGTCCAGAACCAAGACCTGATCATGCAAAATGTTGTATAGAAATGGGATTAGGTATTTTTCTTTTTTTTTTTTCTATTAAATAATGGGAATAAAATATTTATGTAAAAAATGAATAATATGTATACTTTTACAGCTATGATCGAAGCTATAAAACAATTTGATATTGAAAGAAGAGAAGGTGTTAATATGAGAGTTGGAGTACATACTGGGACTGTACTCTGTGGAATTGTAGGTACTAAAAGATTTAAATTTGATGTCTGGTCTAATGACGTGAGTCTAGCGAACAAACTAGAAAGCACGGGAAAACCAGGAAGGGTTCATTTAAGTGAGAAAACATTAAATTTCCTCAATGATGGATATATTACAGAAGAAGGGGATTTAATAAATGGTAATAACATTATTACTACATAGCAGTAGAAAACTATGTATAGAAAAATTGCCTGAATGTTAATAAAGTAAAAAATTGTTTTATTATAAAAAAAATAATAAAAATATTAATATTGCAGGGATTAAAACTTATTTTATTAAAAGTCGAAAATCAGATTTTACTAATCAATTCATAATGAATATTACATCTCCAACAAGTATATCGCCTTTGATGCAATCGCGTCAACGTGTGGCCTCTTGTAATAGTCAATCTAAATCTAAATATCATTACCTTCATATGGTTACTAATACAAGTAATTATAGAATGAAAGCAAATTCTTTGCCAAGTATTCTAGATTCTGAAAACGGAGATACTGACACTGCAGATGAAAAGGAAAACGCAAATAAAAGTCCGATATCTGTTGCTAGTTATGGAAAAAAGAAAGGACGAAATAAACCATGGAAATATTTACAACGACAACGAACTACCGAAGAAATGACACCTTTAGAAATGGAAGAAGCCAAAGCAATTATTGCTGAAAAATCAAAAATTGAATCTCAATCGTACGAAGATCGCAATGGATTTAGGCAGGTCGAAATCTCGTTGATAAATTTTGCTTTAATTCTCAATTGTTTTCATTCATATATAAGTTATATTTTTTTATAGAATACATCTCAAAGTGAGATTGAAATGGATCCGAATCCTGTACCTTCTAGTCCTTTATTGTCTGGTCAGGAACCACTCAGTCGTGCCTCTTCTATGTGCAGTAGGAAAGATTCCGGAATTAGAAGTAATAGTAGACGTAGTAGTATACAACAGCAGGTATAATTCATAAATAACAATAGAAATTATATTATAGATACTTCTCTATTAACGTTTCAATGGTAGTCAGCATGTTCCCTTTCCTCCTGCAGTTAATTTTCGTATTTTAGTTATTTTTGATGAATGGCATGGCTCAAGGGGATTTATTGGGACATAGAGTGAGCGGCT